ATTATAAAGGCAGATGGGTGACATTGGGGACCTTGGGAGTAGTCTTGGGATTATAAAGGCAGATGGGTGACATTGGGGACCTTGGGAGTAGTCTTTCTGGCTTTGAATCTGGGTCTGCCACTTACTATGTGACCTTTAAATGTTACTTAACTCCTCTCTCTTCTGTTTTCTTAGCAGTTGAAAAAATATCTGTAAAATGGTTTTAATCAGATAACCTACCTCACATGATTTTGCCTTGGGTACATGTGCTTCACAAGACCTTCTTAACGTGGTTGAAAAACAAGGATGTAACTTTGAGGACGAAGGTGCTTCTGACCCAAGCCATGATATTTTCAATCACTTCCTATGTATGTAAAAGTTGGATATTGAATAATAAAGACAGAAGACAGATTGATGTACTTGAATTATGGTTCTGGCAAATGTAGTGAAAGTACCATGAACTACCCAAAGAACAAACAGGTCTGTCTTGTGAGAAGGCCAGCCAGAATGTTTAGAGGCAAGGATGGTGAGACTTGTCTCACATACTTGAGAGATGGCAGGAAAGACCAGTCTTGGAGAAGGACATCATATTTAGTAAAATAGAGGAAGACCTCTGACACGATGGATTGGCCCAGTGGCTGCACTGATGAACTCCAACATGGAACAGGACCAAGAAGTGTTTTGCTCTGTTGTACACAGGGTCGTTATCAGAAGGAACCGACTAGAGGCACCTGACAACAACAACACAACACCTCAGACAATTATGAACTGATATGTAAATAACTTAGAACAGGTTCTAGGCAGAGCAGTCTCACCTAATTTGATCCCTTCTCAGAAGGCACTGTACAATTGGATATTATGTCACTATGCTACAGATTTGCTAAGTGCTCCTCAACTCTAAAGCCCTAGTGAGACAAAACAAAAACCTAAATTCACTGCCATGGGGTCAATAGAGGTCTGACTCATAGAGGTCATTAAAAAGCCCCCCAAACACTGCCATTCAAGTTGACTTCAACTCATAGCAACATACCTATAGGACAAGGTAGAACTGTCCCTATGGGTTTCAGCATCTTTCTCCTGGGAGACCTTGAGGTTAGCAGCCCAACATGTAGCCACTAAGCCACCAAGCCTCCTAAAGAGCCATCAGTGAGGTTGATTTTCAGATTTTGAAACCCCAAAGATGGAAGCAAGGGAGCTGGGTGTGGGTCTGAAGAGCAGTTTCTGAGGCAGTGTATCAGGAAAATTTTGGGAGAATGCATTTTCTCCTTAATGCTTCTCAGGTTTTCGAACCTGTCTCTTCCGCAAATCTACTATCTCCCAATTTTGTAGACCTAGGAATGATTTCTGCGGTGTGCATTCGCTCACTCCACAACAGCTTCATTGGGTGCTTATTATGTGCAAGGCTTTTGGGGGAAAATAAAAAGTCCTGAACCTGGATCTGCCCATTTGCTGCTTGTTGTTCAATATAAGAGGAGAAAGACAGGGCTTTCTACTCCCTTAACAAGTTAGGATCTCACAACCCCACAGGGGCAGTTCTACTATGCCCCAGTGATTCCCAACGTTCCTATGTGGTGCTCCTTTAATGCAGTTCCTCATGTTGTGGTGGGGGACGCCTCTAACCATAAAATTATTTTTCTTGCTTCTTCATAACTGTAATTTTGCTGCTGTTATGAAGAGTGCAACCCCTGTGAAAGGGTCGTTCTAACCCCCCAAATGGGTCGTGACCCACAGGTTGAGAACAGCTGCCCTATAGCCTCGCCATAAGTCAGAATTGACTCTATAGTAGTGAGGCTTTGCTGTTGTTGTTCAATAGAAACAAAAACAAATATGTATTGAATATTGATGGGCAAACTAATAATGTTTAGCTTCAGTTTTCTCAACTGCAAAATATGGGTAAAATGAACTACTTTATAGAGCTGACAGATTACATGGGAAAAACAAAGCCCTGGTGAGCTGCATACTAAAAAGTAGTTTGATAAATGTCCGTTTTCCCTCTCCTCATACGGTAGGGTGAAAATTTAACCTGCCATCCTTGCAGGTTAAACACATTTCTCTCAATTTATGTAAACCGTTGCCAGTGTCTCCCAAAGAAGTTACATTGGTTCATCCTTGGGCCTGTGTAAGTTTTGCTTTGTAGCATTCTGACACTCGTTTCAATTGTTAAAATCTACCAACTCCATACAGATGTCCCAAACCAAACTCACAGCCACGCAGTTGATTCCGACCCTACACCACAGGAATCTGAGACTTTAACTCTTGCTGGGAGTAGAAAGCCTCATCTTTCCCCCCTCGGAGCAGATGGTGGGTTCGACCTACGACCCACGCAGGTAGTCGCTCAATGAGTAACCCACTACATCACCAAGGCGTCTCCATGAATATGAGATACTCTTTAAAACCTGGAGCCCTCCCCACGCCCCTAAAACCACAAGGAACACCTTAGTTCACTGCTATTTAAAACGTTTTAAATTTATAGCCTTGGTGGTGTAGTGGTTCTGTGCTGGGCTGTGAACCGCAAGGTCGGCAGTTCAAAGCACCAGCAGCTCCCGCACAAAGATTGCGCTTTCTACTCCCGTCAAGAGTAACCGTCTCGGAAACCCACGGGGGTCACAAGACTCTATGGAGTGGGTGACAGCCAGCAAACAGAAGGTTACAGCGGCGGAATCCAGACACGCCCCCGACCAGGGGGCGCGTGCGCAGACGACGCTGGCGGGCGGGCGGGACTTTTGTGGGCGGGCCTTGTAGGGAGCGACTGCTTCCGCTTCCGGCTCCTTATGAAATCTCCCGCCACCAGGGCTGAGCGTCACTGCTTGTATTTCTCACTCGGTGTTGTGGCCGGTAAGAAGCTGCTGCGGCCTGCGGGACGGAGAGCCCCGACTCCGAGCTTGAGAGGACCTTGCGGGCGGCGGGACTGAAAAGACTGGTCGGGGTTGGGATGTTGCTGGTTTGGGGCACAGGCGCGGGCTCCCGGGACGGTTCAGGGGAAATGGCTTCTCCGTGGTGGTTGGTGATCAGAGTGGTAGCCAGAAAGAACTTGTGGGGACTCCCTAACAGGTTTTTCTTTTTCGAAAGTTCTCTTTCTCCCTGTAGGAAGACTGGGAGTAACTGGACCCGGTTCATCCAATCTCTTTTCTATCTAGAATATACGCCCCTTCCTCAGGAGTTCAGGAATGCATCCCATGTAAAATCTCATTTTATGATTGGTATTGCAAGGATCTAGGGCGATGTCAAGGAGCTCTGGTGGCGTGGTGAATTATGCTCTGGGCTACTAATCTGGAGATCAGCAGTTCAAAACCACCAGCCACTCCACGGGAGAAAGCTGAGGCTTTCTACAGGTCTGAGCAGGCACTTCCTAGCACATGATATGTTGCCGGAAGGTAGGATCACCAGGGTGAAACTCTCTTCCTATTTCCCATACACCCCATGACAAAATAGTCGAGTATTAGGAAAATGCAGGAAAGCACCATCCAGGCATAACTAGAGTGACCATTTTGTGTGTGCGCTTCAACTAAAGATCTCTGATCTGTTCGTATGATATTTTGTTGTTGTTTTCTTTTCCACTCTATTGTCCAGCATTTTAACTTTCTATGCGTTTCTTTCCAAGGTAACCAAGATGCAGTTTTCTGAAAGGCGCATGAAGCTGAGATTGTTAGGTGACCAGAGAAGTGCCACCTACCCTCATAGCCTCCAGTTTTACCTCGAGCCGCCATCTGAAAACATATCTTTGATAGAGTTTGAAAGCTTGGCTATTGACCGAGTGAAATGTGAGTGATATTTAACTTAGAATTCATATTTTCTTGAGAAGCTCACTTAGGCTTTGTGGGAATGAATGAAGATTCCTCCCCACCCCCTATCCCCTTTCAACAATTCATTAAAAAACATTAAGGTTTGCTATTCTTGCATTGGTTTGTACAATGTGTGTTTCTTGAGTGTCACCAAAATTTAGATGGCAGAGATTTTGAAGTGAATAATGTAATTCCCATCTTCATTGAAGCTATGCCCATGTACAAGGTGATAGAGTTCCAAAATAATAATCATAATTCAGACTTTTCAGTCTTCCAGTAGAGATAAATAGTCATGCGAGAAGAGCAGAGGTAGGAATGACAGACTTAGATTGACTAAACATGCTTCTTAGAGAAGTTGAAGTGTGAACTGGATCTTGAAAGATGAGTAGCACTTTCCCAACAGAGAGGAAACTGCAAGTTTTTCCAAATTGAGATAATAGCTTGTACAAAGGCTTAGAAGCATGAAAGAGAGTGTCCTATTTGATAAATTCAGAGTAGATAGAGAAGTGGAGTAATGACAAGCATTTTGGGCCATGCTCATGTGTCAGACTGAGGTGTAAGATGGATGTGGCATCTGCCCTGGGCATCTCCTTATCCTGTTGATGGATGAACAGAATGAGCTAGGGATGAACTGAGGTGGAAATGCTAGCACACTCTAGATTGAATGTCCCAGTATATCCTTGCTGGTCTGCAAAGAGAGGTGAGCTACTGTCAGTCATTCTTACATCCAGCAGGATGTGACCTGCTAATACGGAGAGGGACATTCAATATCTTTTTATTGAATAAAAGAGTAAAGGCATGGGATGGAAGCGTTTTTAGAAGGAAGTTTAACAGTCTTTGATGCTTCATAGTGATTGAAATGATCATTGAAAAGTGCCCACTTGAGTTTGACTCAAGAAGTGAGATGGTAAGGACCTGAACTAAGGTAGCGACAATGACAGTGGTAGGAAGGGAGAGATTCAGAGATACTCAGGGATCCCTGCTGGCTGAAATCTGCAAGGTCAGCATTTTGAAACCACCAGCCAGCTCTCTACTCTTGTCAGTAGTTAAAAGTTTTGGAAACTCACAGGGGGCAGTTCTACCCTGTCCTAGAGGGTTGCTGTGAATTGGCAGTGAGTTTGGTTTGGTTGTACTAGCTATCAGGACTCCCAGGGATGCAATGAGTTAATCATTTGGGCAGCGAATGGAAAGGACAGTGGTTCAACACTACCCATTCCTCCATGGGAGAAAGATGAGGCAGTTTGGCTTCCTAAAAATTTTCAGCCTTAGAAACCCCAAGTATGAGTTCTGCTTTGCCCTGTACAGTTGCTAGAGGTCGAAATGGACTTAACAGCAGTGCGCTTGGGTTTTTAAAAAAAAATCATTTTATTGGGGGGTCATACAACTCTTACAATCCATACATACATCAGTTGTGTGAAGCACATGCACATTTGTACATTCATTTCCCTCATCATTCTCAAAACATTTGCTGTCCACTTAAGCCCCTGGCATCAGCTCCTCATTTCCCCCCCCCTCTCCCCGTTCCCCCCTCCCTCATGAACCCTTGATAATTTTTTCTAATCATTTTATTGGGGCTCATACAACTCAACACAATACACACACACATCAATTGTGTAAAGCACACTTATACATTAGTTGCCCTTATGATTCTCAAAACACTCGCTTTCCGCTTGGGCTACTGGAATCAGCTCCTCATTTTTCTTTTTCTTTTTTTCCCCCTCCCTCCCCGCTCCCC